GCCATACAGGAGTGGGAAGCACCTACCAAGGTACCCGAGTTGAGATTCTTTCTTGGTTTTGTTAACTATTATCGCGGTTCATCAATGACTACTTAGCTAAGGCGGCACTATTGACTGAGTCGTTAAAGATGAACAAGCCGTGAGTTTGGACGAAGTATTGTAAAAAGGATTTGAAGGCCTTAAGGCAGTTGTAATAGATGGGACATTCTTGGTATTACCTGACTTTGCCAAGACATTTAAGATGCATACAAATGCCTCAAATTTTTCCATTGAGGGTGTCTTGATGCAAGATAAGAATCCCATATCATTCGAGAGTCGCAAGTTGAACGAGACGGAGCTTCATTACACCGTGCAAGAGAAGTAGATGACTGCCATTATGCATTGCCTTCGTACATGGTGACATTATTTGCTTGGGGCGAGGTTTGTGGTCAAGACCAACAATATGGCTACTAGCTACTTCAAACGCAGAAGAAGCTCACACCAAAACATGGTAGGTGGCAGGATTTCTATGTCGAGTTTGATTATGTGTTGGAGTATAAGTGGGTCAAAGGTAATGTTGTAGTTGATGCCTTGAGCCGAAAAGACGAGCTTGCTGCCATCACTTTAGAGTTAGGAGATTCGTGAGGCTATAAAAAAAGGCATGAAATATGATCCGGTAGCCAAACAACTTATGAAGTTAGCCACCCAGGGTAAGACGAGGCGTTTTTAGGTAGAAGATGGCCCATTTCTTACCATGGGTCGGTCAATCAACATACCTAAGTTTGGAGATATTAGACGGTGGATCATAAGTGAGAGTCATGACACAATGTGGGCCGGTCATCCAGGTCAACGTCACACTAGGGCGATGGTTGAGTCAGTCTACTATTGGTCATGCATGTGAGATGACATAGAGTGTTATGTATAGACATGTCTTGTCTGTCAACAGGACAAGGTTGAACAACAACGGCCTAGAGGGCTTTTGGAGCCACTACTAGTTGCAGAGTGTCCATGGGAGAGCGCGACTAAGGACTTTATCACTTGTCTACTGAAGTCCAACAATTATGGTACTATTACGGTGGCTGCCTCTCCAGGTTTCATAGCCAAGGAAGCCGCCAAGGTAATTTTTAAGAACGTGGTGAAGTATTTAGGCTTACCAGGGCATATCATCAGTGATCGAGATCCCCACTTCACTGGGAATTTTTGGAGAGAGTTGTTCGACATACTTAGCATGGAACTGCAATTTTCCACTAGTTTTCGCCCATAGACGGATGGACAGACGGAACAGGTCAATGCCTTACTGGAATGCTACTTGAGGCATTATATGTGCACACATCAAAAGATTGAGCAATTATGGACATCACTCAATTCTCTTATAATTGCAGCAGAGTGAGTCCACGGGGCAGACACCATTTAAGCTAGCCATAGGTCAACAAGCAGAAACTCCACATTCATTACCAGCCATGTTCGAGAGAAAGACTTTGGGGGCTTATTATATGGCCAGAGGATGAGAGGAGCAGCTTGACATTTATGAGTCTTACTTGGACAAGACAGTTAAGAAGATGAAGAAGTTTGCAGACCGTAAGCAGCATCCCACAGACTCTGGAGTTGGGGACATGGTCATGGTAAAGATTAACCCAAAACAATTCAAGGCACTACGGGGCATGCATCAAAATTTGACTCACAAGTATGAGGGACCATTTAAGATCTTCACCAAGGTAGGCAAGATCTCATACAAGCTTGACATGCCATCGTATCTTAAGATATACCCTATCTTCCATGCCAGTGTACTTAAGCCATATCATAAAGACAATGATGATTCGAGTAGGGGTCAATCAAGTCGAGCGCCAATTACTATCACCGCCTCACATGATGGGGAGATTGAGGCTATCATTGATTACCAAGGCCAGGCGAAAACAAGGGTAGAAAGCCACCGCTATTTCCTTGTCCATTGGAAGGGGTGGTAATCACCGGAGGAATCTACGTAGGAATGATATGAAGACTTATGGCAATTCAAAGATAAGATCCGAGAGTTTATGCACAACATTGCACCATGATCATGGCAACATTAGGTGGGGGAGATTGTGATGACCCGCCATGTCATCATGCCATATATGCACTATTTGGAATATACTAATACCGCATGAAAGCTTTAATGGGAGGAAGACTAGCATTTATGAGAAGATTCTAGAGAAGTATGCACATTTCCTTTGGAAGACCCTAGATCCCTATGAATTTTCTAGGAAAGTTCTTGGAATCTTCTAGGCTTGTAGAGAATTATAGAGAAAACCTTTATCTTGTAAATACTAAGGACTTGATTAACAATTAATATTTATACACTAGCCCCTAGCAGACTAGTATATAAAGGGGGTCATTCATTTGTAATACATGAAGCAAACTATTCTAGTTCTCTCTCTAATACAAAGCTTTCTTTAGCAATTATCTTGTGTTCATCATTCCCTTAGCGATCTCTAATATCTTAGGATGATTAAGAACGTGAGCAAGTTGTCAAGTACCACATGTGCGCTTAGTTTTGAGACTAAGGACGTGACATAATGGTTATTGTCTTATTGTAGGGAGAATGGTCGTTTAAAATTTAGTCTAGTACCGAGTCTGGAACTCAATTAAGAGAGCTTTGGGTAGAGAGAGGCGGTAGAGAATAGAAAAAGAGGAGAGGAGGAAAAAAAGGGTGTCACTAAATCCCCTAATTTAAGACACTAATAATGGATTATAAATGAACTGTATGAAAACGATAGTTATAACGGGTAACACACAAATTTAGGACAACTTTGGTAATAATTTTGAAATATTGTATAAGAAAAAAAAATTCCCTAAAAAATGGGTTGGATAATGAACTTTTTAAAAGCGGGTCAAGTATGGACAAGAACTATATTAGCCACTTAGAAAATGGATAACCAATAGATAACTAATGAGTTTAACTTTTATATTTGTAAAGAGATAAACTGGGAGTTACTCAAGTTTGAGAGACTAGAAATTCTCCCTAAAGCGATCATATTTAAGAAGCTATGGATAATATGGATATCCATACTATCCGTCGATTTACCCGTTTTCTATCCGTATTAAATATGGATCGGGCCAAATAATTTATTTATTTATTTTTGCATTACCCATTTTTAACCTGTCCATATCATTTCCGACCAGACCGTTTGCCACCCCTAGTTATACCCTTAAACTATTTGTATTCTTAATTACTTACCCCATGAACTTGGGTATTCAATAGCTATTACTAGGGGTGTTCATAAAAATCCGAAAAATCGAACCAAACCGAAAATCAAACCAAACCGACCAAAAAACCTGATACGTTTTGGTTTGGTTTGGTTTTGAAATTTAAAAAACGATCAAATTTGGTTTGGTTTTGATTTTAATAAAAAAACCCGAATCAAACCGAATATAGGAGTATTTATTATTACACCTATATATATGTAACTTTTATACAAAGTTTTAAAATTTTTATAATAAATGTTAATCGTTTGCACTTTTAGTATAGTTCTTTACCTTTAATTATAGTTTGATTGGTAGTTTTTCTTTTGTTAAGTGTAAGAATCTATTTCATGTTAAAAATAATATATTTTTAATTGAGTCCTTAAATTATTCATCACTATTTGATTCAATATATTATCATCAATATATCTTGGTAAATAATAGATTTCTCAAAGGGCAATTGATTTGATAGTGTTAAGTTAAAAATGTGGTTGCCGAAATATGTGTTTGGTAGTGTATGTCTTATATTTAAGAAAAAATCGACAAATAACCGAAAAAATCTAAAAACTGACATAAACCGAATCGAGAAAAAAACGACTTAATTGGTTTGGTTTGGTTCTAATATTTGAAAAACCGACTTACTTAGTTTGTTTTTTTTTAGGGAAAAACCGATCCAAACCAAACCATGAACACCCCTAGCTATTACCCCCTTAAACAATCTCATCTCAGAAAAATGGCATGTACGCGCATGCCACGTGAATTTTTCCATCAATCTAATATTTTTAATATATATATNCGAATAAAATTTGTAATATAATTTAGCTAGAACTCCAGTACTTATGCTTTTTTTTATTTAGATAAAAATGATGAAGCTTCAGTTAATTTTTTTTTAAATTTATCTTCAAAAAGAAGAAATACGCTAATAAAATAAATAGTCATAACATCTAAAAATGATATAAAATACATATTTTGAACTTTATTATTTAGGCTTAAACTTTTTATTTAGCTAAAAATTATGGAGCTCTAAGCAAGTATTTCTTATTACAAATTTTGCCCAAAAAATACACAGTTAAAATAAATAGCTATAGCATATAAAATAGAAATAAAAATGAAGTACACAATTGCAACTTTATTATTTTGGCAATAATTATTTACATTTGATAAATAATAGTGGAGCTGCACCCAAGTTTTTTTACTAGTTTGATTCGAAAATAAAAAATACACAATTAAAATACTTAGCCATTATATCTAAAGAAAAAATAACAAGAAATTTTCATTTGGTACTCTATTATTTTAGCTATAAATTTTTTATTTGGCTAAGGTATGGAGTTCTGGCCAAATTATTCACAAATTTGGCCCGAAAAAGAATAAATAAATAGTTAAAATAAATAGACATTATATTTATAGAATAAATTAATACAAATAAAAGGGAGTATATTCATGGTCTTTGCTCCAATAATGTTCAGGGGTAACGATTATCAAATAACCAGTTCAGGGGGTAATTAGGTCTCAAATAATTTAAGGTTACAATTAATAATTCATGCCAAGTTTTATTTTAAAAAAGTTTTCCGCCTATTCGTATTCATCAAAGGAAGGAGAAAAACGAAGAGAATATACCGTTCTTAAAATAGTAGCTAAAAAAATGTGTATTTCTGTATGATATATACAAAAATATTATTCTTTTGTGGCTACCATTTTAAATGTTGAGGCTAAAAGTGATTTTCGTCCAAAAATGAAGTACATTGGGCCGTGGCCTTGTTCGATTAGTGACTTTATATTCTCAACCCATAGAAGCCCAAAAGACGAGTCGGACCAACCCTTATCATTCTCTAGGGTTTTTACTGTAAAATTCCATTCCCCCTTCTCCTCTTTCTTCGTTAGCTTTCTAAGTAAACCACAGTTCCAGCTTACAGGTTCGAATCTTTTCTTCTTCAAAATTGGTGTTTGTAAAACCGCTGAAGAGGCAAATTTATTTGTTGATTTATTCTCAATCTGATATTTTTATTTTTTATTTTGAGTAATTCCAGGTCATTCTATCTCCGTTTCTCGAAGAAACTTTTTGAAGAAGTATGGCGTCCCGTTTTTGGACTCAAGTAAATGAATTTTTCACCTCAATTAATGATTTAGTTTTTTTCTTTATGTGTTTGGATGAATAAAATAATCTATTCACCAATTTACAGTGGTAAAGATTTAATTTTTTATTAATTTATAAGATCTCTAGTGATAGATAATCCTACATTATTGAATATTGGAATGAATCAGATCTAAATAGAGCTAAATGGATAGTGATGATTCATATAGCCAACCCCAGATAGCTTTTGATTGAGGCATAGTATATTGTTATGTCATTATACTTGCATCTGGATGTTTTGAATTGCAATTTCATAATCAAATTTTTCAAAATTTAAGTGACCTTTGGATACAAATCACGAGAATGTGTATTTGTTCACACTTTTCACCAGCTATTCTGCTGAAGAGCAATTTACTTGTTTGTGTAAACAGTAAGATGTGAAATATAATCTTAAACTGTTAAGAAGGAATTGCTTAGTGAGCCTAGAAAATTAAGGTGCTGTGAGTGACTGATTTGTTTTTGTATATGGCAGTCTGTTGGGCATGGCTCATTATGCATAACCTATAAGGGTTTAGGGAAGGTGTTATTTAATTCATTCTTACTACGGTATTTGCAGGGCGATAGTGAAACGGAGGACGAAGAGGAGAGTGATTACGAGCAGGAGGATGATGAAGGGCCGGCTGAGACTACCGTAGCAGCAGCTGGGTCAAGATACCTTGCAGCTGGTGACAGCGACAGTGATGAATCAGATGGACAGAAGCGAGTTGTCCGGTCGGCAAAGGATAAACGCTTTGAGGAATTGTCTGCTACCGTTGATCAGATGAAGAATGCTATGAAGATTAATGACTGGGTCAGCTTGCAGGAGAGCTTTGATAAGATCAATAAGCAGCTGGAGAAGGTCATGCGCATTACAGAATCGGTTAAAGCACCAAATCTCTATATCAAAGCTCTAGTGATGCTGGAGGATTTCTTGAGTCAGGCCTTGGCCAATAAGGAGGCAAAGAAGAAGATGAGTAGTAGTAATGCTAAAGCCTTGAATTCGATGAAACAGAAACTGAAAAAGAATAACAAGCAGTATGAGGAGTTGATTAACAAGTACAGGGAAAATCCTCCCGAGAGTGAGGATGAGGCTGGTGATGATGAAGAGTCAGAAGAGGAAGAAGAGGATGATGAAGAGGAGTTTGAGGAGGACCCAACAAAGATTGCAGCTGCGTCTGATGAGGAAGATGACGAAGATGAAAGTCGGGATGAGACAGCGGAAAGCGGTACTGGGTGGGAGAAGATGCTGAGCAAGAAAGAAAAACTTTTGGATAAACAGTTCAAGGATCCAAGTCAAATCACGTGGGAGACAGTCAACAAGAAGTTCAAGGAAATTGTTGCCGCTAGGGGTAGAAAGGGGACTGGAAAGATTGAATTGGTTGAACAGCTCACCTTCTTGACCAAGGTGGCCAAGACTCCAGCACAAAAGCTTGAAATTCTGTTTAGTGTTGTGTCTGCCCAGTTTGACGTTAATCCAAGTCTCAGTGGACACATGCCTATAAATGTTTGGAAAAAGTGCGTGCAGAATATGCTTACCATCCTCGATGTTTTGACCCAATACCCAAACATT